AGTACCAAAAGAAAAAACTTTTAAGGTTACTTAAGCTAAGATCAAGATTGTTAAGAGTTGGCAATAAATAATCAGTTAAAGAAGCAAACGGCAAGCACAAAATAGAAGGAGCTACGGCATTGCAACCTTTTTTTTTTTGGGTTATGGTTAGTCCAATATTCGAAGTTAAATGAAACTAAAGTGAAGATTTGATTTCAGAATTTTTCAGAATTTAAAGTCACACAAATCAATGATGATGATAATGATATTCAATAATCTTTTGCTACAAATAAATTGCACATTCAGTTATACTATGTGCAATTCATATAGAATTCGAAAGAAGAAGTCTGTAAAGACAAGAGATAATAGCATACTTAATAGACTAATATAAAATAGAGAGTATGTGTTTTTTTAAGATATATAACAATATGAAAGCCAATTATTTCTCAGTGGCTCAAATTTATCAGGGCACGAGTTCAATCCTTGGCACTTGCAGTCTCATAAAATTATTTATGAATAATTAAATATAAGAAATAATACTCGAAACAGTTTTATAGGCAGTCAAATACTTAATCAATTAATAAATAATAAAATTTTGTTGTTGTAATTCACTACTGTTCAAAATACCTCTATTAAAATAATTGTTTCTATTCAGCAACATGGCTTCGTTTTTAAGTGGCACAAAAGAGCACATTTGTGCTATTTGCACTATTTTCAGTGAAAATCATCTATATAAACTCTCCCATGTTTTCGAAGACGATTGTAACATTTTAATATAAAATATAGATATTAATTCAAAGATAATAAAGAATAAAGAATAAAGAATAAAGACATTCTTGCTTAGTGGTGATTGATTTTAGTTAAAATAATAATCAAAGAACTATTTATAAGTAAAACTGGCTTATGTTGAAACATAAACATTATACTTTATATATTGGAATATATAAATTTTTTTTTTTCTTTTTTATAATCGTAATGTTCACTTTCTTATTAAAATAGTGGACTTAAGTTTTTAAGTAAAAATAGAAGAAATGTATTGATTTGATTTAATAATATAATTAAAAGTGGAGCACGCTGTAGCTAATTAATTAAATAATTAATTTTTTTTCAGCAAATAATTCAATTAATTAATTAATAATAAAATGTTGTTGTTGTAATTTACTACTGTGCGAAACCTTTCTATTAAATACAATATCTTCTATTAATTAAATACTGTCAAGCCCGATGTTAAAATCAAATTTAAAAAGAAATATTTCCAAAAGAACAATGTTGACACCTATTTGGTAATACTCAAAACATATATGTGGTCAGCCAAAAATTGATATAATCAATATATAACAAAATGTTGTTGTAATTCACTACTGTTACTGCTACTGCTCAGAAAACCTCTTTATTAAAGACAATCATTTATGTTAAGAATTTATAGTTTTCTTCGTCGAAATGGACGTTCAAAATTAGTTTAACTAACATTTCACAATTACGTTTTGGTATTACTTATCTAGGCAAGTAAATAGGTACATAGAAAAACAGGCTCATATTCTTAGGGCTAGATTTGCAAATACCTGTACTGGGATACATCAGACGCTTCGGTTCCTGTTACAGAAACGTTGATCTACGGAATCAGCTGAAGTTTTTCATATGACAAGTGCAGTATCCTATAAGAAGTAATATGATATTCATATATATTATATATAAGTATATTACACATATTACATGTATTCCATATATTCCATTATATAAAGTATTATATTAAAGTATTATATTAAGATTTGCATCAAATGATAAAGTGGAATGCGAAACTGAGGTGTGCCAAGCCAAAAGAGGACTATATTGAAGCATAAAAAATAATTTTCCATAAAAAAAGCGTTTTTAATAATTAGGCCTGGTATTTAACAACCCACTTAGTAGAAATAGTTCATCTATTGATTATGCAAATATCTATTTCGAATTTCTTTCTAAACAACTGAGTAAAGCCCGTAGATTGAAAAAAGTTTAAAAATCAATATAAGTAAATATATAACTAAAATTTAAATTTAAATTAATTGATGTACAGATTTAATATATTGTATCTATGTTTTATTAATATATAACTACATGACTATAAATTAGAAAATAAAACTATTGCTTCAGACTACTCAAAAATAGTGAAGTTCAACTAAAACTTTTAGTTCGGTAGGCAGGTTGGTTGGAGTGGCGGCCTTGTTTCCGAAAATCCCACTTGGGCTCAAATGATGACCTATTGAGGTACCACAACTGTTAGTTATGATCGTTAAAAAAATTATATTTATATAAATATATTATAGAAAATATTGTTTGAATTTTATTAACCAGCATTAGCATTCATAAAAGTGCTAACTAGTACTTATTGGTCTACTATAAAGAGTTCAGATTTTTTAATAATCCGAAGTAATTTTTTTTTCTAACATACAATGCTCTTCTAGTATTAATAACCGGAATTCACTTATAAGGCGACTAACCCGAAATCCAAGCGAAAAATAAATATTTTGGCCAAAGGCACAATAATTGCTGTTGAACTTGCTAATGCACTGACTTAAGCCGTCCGTCTGTGTTAGGCCTGAGCAAAATCCAGCTGCCACAAAAGTACTAAAAAACTTCAGGAATTATACGATCTTCAAATAATTTAAAATTTTTTAGTTTCCTTGCAGATTGTCGTTTTGCGTGCAAGATGCCGCACCGCAATTTAGGCAGACAATCAGAAAAATCTTTGCGTGTTGATCACTGAAAGGGAGATCGCGTAGCAGATAAATTCTTCGAAAATGGTAGCACAAAAAAGAAGTTATTTTAGCGCTTAATTACGGAATTTAAATTGCATTCTGCACTCTAAACGTCAACACACAAGAACATTGATCTTCCATCTTCGACATTGATATGTGGAATTCTAAAGATACAAAAAGGCCTGAACATAAGAAATCCATAACAATTATTAAAATTTGAGCAGAATTCTATATTGCACACTTAACTTTATATATTCTAAGAGTCTTATTTTAGCACTTTTTTTTATTAAATATTTTTATTAAATCTTAAAATAAATTCCAATAATAGGTTTTGTAGAGAAACTCGGAATCAAGTCTTTTCAATTATATAAATACTTTAGCGTAGTCAAAATTTAATCAGTATCAATAAGAACTTATTGGTCAAGCTAAAGAGTATGTATTTCAACATATGACTTGTCAGACATTAAAATTTTTAATTTCGCCTTCAGCAGAATATTTGCACTTTCAATATAAGGTGTGTTCTTTTGACATAATCGCTCCAATAGAACATGTGTCGCTCAAATTAACAATCAAGTTAACAAGCAAAGCAAAAACAAAACTCGCAAAAATAAGTCCACTTTCCTGAAATTGCTTAACGAATAAGCCACTTGCATTACAATGGTGTCAAATCTTAAAACTGTTCTATTGTGAATGATTTTTGGCAAAAAATGAAAAATTCCAGTCAGCTGTTTATTATTCATAACTGTTGCGAGTGCTAATGCGTTAATACAAATATTTTAAATAAGTAATTGTTTTAATAAAATTTGTGAAAATGACTGATAGGTTGGTGATTATAAAGATATAAATTATTTATTGAGCAATTTTTAATTTTTGTGTTAATCACACTAAAAATTAATTAATGTGAATAATAGAAAACAAAATAAATATTAGAAGGGTAATGATCAGTATTTTTATCTTACATATTTAAATTAACTTATTTATTTATATGCGTAACTTTATTAATATAAAAAATGCTCATTTGAAATTAATGGATAACTGGAATTTTGCAACATATTTCCAGTGAACATTCACAATAGACCGATTTTTGAATTTAGGCTGCACTGAAACTTAAGACTTGAAATTTCTTGCTCTGAAGATTTTAAGAGCATTGTTGTTGCTTCACATGTTTTCTTTCTTAAGTTGCGTGTATTTTTTGTTACTCTGAAAGAAAAAATTTCAGTTAATGTTTTCACACTGATGAAGGGACGAAACATTGTGGCTTATTGTCTTTGAACGACGAAAATAGCTCAATTGATAAACTCCTAATGAAAAGGTAAGAATCGATTCAAACCAAATATTAGAACAAGTAATGGTAAATCTTATAGTTAGTTTGCCTGCTACGAGTCTTACCGATTTTTAGCGATCATATACAATATTTCTAAATACAAAATACAATACAACAAATTTTTAAT